GCTGTATTTTTATCTCGCCTTGAAAATTTTAAGTACTATATGATTTAACAAAAGATAGCAAATATTAAACGTGGAATTAGATGAAGATTGCTCTTTCCTGGAAGAACAGATGTTTCCTGCAACTTAAATTCTTGCAGAGCTAATGACCTGAATTTTAGTAGATCTAATATGTCTCTCTTTTTGTTGCTGCTAACATTACCATCCCTACTGAAAGTATGCTTAGGAACCCAGTCTGAATTAAGGCCCTACATAAGACACGCAGCAAAAATATGGCTGGGGAGGGCAAAAAGCTTTGTAAATAAAGAGATTGGAAATGAAAGTGAGTTCTAAAATACACTCCAAGTTAAAGACCTTTAGGACACCATCAATTTAGTAATCAGCCTTTTATCTGACAAGTTTATTTACTACTTTTACAAGCAACACCCAAACTAACTATATATGGCAATATTAACGAGGGGCAGGAGGAACAGTACAAGACTACAGAAAACCACAAACAACCCTCTAATGTTTTTGTGGGCAATTTTGTTCAGCGAGATCCCTATCTGCAGAGAAGGGCAAATGCAACCACTCCTCCCAACCGCCAAAAGGACTCTCTGACTCTCCCTGCCTGCATCCCTGCTTTTAAGAGCCTAAATGCGGTGCTAGGTCTGGCTGCTTGGAGGAGTCCTGGAGGTTTCTGTACAAAGTGAAATACCAGGGCTCGCTCTTGTGTCCTTGAGTGTCCCAGCAATATTGCTCTGCTTCCGCAGACTGGGAACGGGTAACTTCAGGGTAGCAGAAGGACACTCACCGCAAGCACACAGCTTGAGCCTAGTGCACTGCGCTGCCCCTGAGAGCACGTCCCCTTCGCAGCACTGCACAGGGACACACGCATGGGCAGCAGAGCCCAGAGCAGTAGCGCAGGTCCATCCGTCCGAAAACGGGGAGCAGACAAGTCACGGGCTAGCAGGAAATGCCTGTCTGGGGAACAGAAGGAGAACTTAGGTGGGAGTATGGCGTGGGAACGGGGCAGGGTTGCTGCCTCTCCTGAACAAAGGCATCCTTACAGCAAATTGTGAATTGGTGGAGGGATCCTTGGAGATTCTTCATAATTAGCCATGGTTGTCTGAAGTACGGTTCTGTCCTGAAAACTGACTAAAAGAGAAATTCTGAACTATTTTTCTAGTGTTTCCCAATTGAAAGTGTAAAGCTTGTAATTAAAATGTGTTTTTTTTTCTAACTGCTGACTCTTTATTCCTTGTGGCACACTAAATCCTTGTACTCGTGTAGAGCACCACCAGTTGTGCAGCCATTGAGGCCATACTCTGCTTGAAGGGACATCTATGGTACCCCTCTGTAGGTATCCAACTCACCACAGCTTGGCAGCTGGTGAGGTACAACATATAACAACACAAGTGTAATTGTCTCCACACTTCTAAAAAGCAAGAGACTTGGCTGCTTCTTTAAAGTTACAGTAAGAGTGTATGGCTATGAATGCACGCTACCACTGGATCTGTTCGATAAGAAGAGGTCTTTTTTATACAAGCATTCTGCTTTGAGGTGTCTAAAACTTCACAGACCATGTAGAAAAATAGACTCCTTAAAATTCTGCATTCAGATCTTGCAGGAAATCTTATTTACACTGAAAAATGCTATTACAAGCATTTGCCAAAATCCTGAAAATAGCACAGATGGAGGCAAAATGATCTTTAGTCTCTCCGATGAGTGGGATAGAGATACAGTTCTGTACGCTTCTAGGGAGTAACAGGACATTGCACTTGCTGGAGGCCAATTGTTTCCCTTTCCTAACATTAGCCTTGTTACCCAAGACAAAGAGAAGGATCTAATGTCTACAAAGCAAGTTTTTTGGCAGAGAATGTGCAGACAGCTATTCCACACCCAAACATTTTATTTATGACAGTAATCTAATTACTTTGTGAACAAAAAGTCAGTACTGAAGCTACTCCACTACATTTAAGCAGATCAGGCTATAGACAACTGCCAGGATGCAAACTTGGTAACATTAGATGACATGATAAGATAAAGAGATCTGGCTATATTGTACTGTAAATTAAACTCCCATCAACTCCATGTGCTTCAATCAATGAGTTCGTGTGAGTGCAGCTGATGGCTGAGCTTGGCCTAGAAACTTAGAATATTTAGTTACAGCCTGATGATTTACTTGGTCTTAACTCAGCCAAGCGAAGATTCACAGTGTATTACATTGCTGCTCATGTAATTACATGATTAGGTGATAGCTTCCAGTTATGTCAACCTAATTACAGTAGGTACGAGAAAGTTTTTTTCTCTCCTTCTTAAAATGATGGAAGATGGAGAAAATATTACTGTGACATGGTTCGGATTTGCAGGTTCAGTTCCCAGTTTCCCAGAATGGGCACACACTGGCTGGGCCTGCGGTAGTGTTCATTCATCGTACATGCGCAGGCAGTCATTTACCAATGTCCACCGAGCAAGCAGCCAGTCCATCTGTATTCAAGCTGGCTTGTATGCCTTGTTCGTAGATTCAGTTTTCTGAGACTGGCTAGCACAAAAATGGAGCACCTGCAGTTGCCTATTTCGCTATGATGTGCAGAGCAGAAGCTATTACGCAAGAGGACGACACAGCTGTTTCTCTCTAATTCTCCTCAGTTGTGGTAATCAGGAAAGGGAGGTTGCAGGCCCCCTCTGATATTTCCTTCCCTCTTCTTGTGAGTTTGTAGTTGATACACACAGATGTGATTACTGCCCCTTATCCTTTTCTATACCCATCTCCCTCACTGCTGTTCCCTTTTTCTAATTGTCCTCGCAGAAAGTGGTAATATTTTCAAAAGAACGGCCTTTTCTTTGAATCTGCAAAAATCTGTCTCTGCCGTTTCAGAACACAAGTGCATACTTGTACATCGAACTGCTTGCCTGAATGCAGACTGCACCCTAGTGTGCGCTTGCTTGGTGCAATTTCTGGAATACTCTCTTTGAGAAGCCTGGAAAATGAAAGCTAGAGCATGCTAATTCCACCTCCTCGAGACTTGTATCCTAATCTTATACTTCATAAAATCCAGCATACTCATTCTTTCCATATTAATTGAACATATAAATACATCATGAGTAGAATTGCCCCATATGAAATTTTAAAAAAAGTGTAATTTCGTCTGCGAACAACTAAAATGTATTTTGTTTCAGGTTTATATTTGTATGTGCCTTTGTGCTTATCATTTGAATTGCTAGGTATATGATACTAATAGCAATGAGAGAATGCCTAACGTGAGCATATGTCATCCATTGCACAGCAGTTGACTGCAGCTTGGAGTATGTCTTGTAACTGTCAGTTCTACAGCCCAATAAACTCCTGCTATCTGACACCACCCTAGCCTTACGTACCCTGACAGCTGTAACACTTTGGCACCAGACAGTGTTTTGTTTGCTTGCGTGATTATAACCTAAAGGCAAGAACTGCACCTGGGTATATGACAGGGTCTCGGGGCACATTTATTACAGAAACTCCATCTGCATTGCAAAGCTGGTTAAGAGTGTAATTTTACTGAGAGCTTTTCTGTCACATTTTGGTATGAGTTAACACCCTTGGGGAAATAACGGAAATAAAATTATGATTTTGCCTGTTTAAATTGCATCTGTTCTAGCAGGACTTGCTTGTTAAACCTCAATCCCCAAATATTTTTGGTACAGTCTGTTTCTAAGGCAGAAGAGATTTTCTCATTACGTTTCAGTTTCTGAATGCAACTGCCTTGCAACTGAAAATAAGCATTTCTAAAAGAACTGTATTTTATGTATTCAAATATGCATGATTAGGAAGAATATTTGCAATACAGTCATTGGTGACACACAGTAAGGGCAGAACACTAGAGCAAAGCAAGGAGATTAACCAAAGCTACTGCATTGGCTGAGATGGAATGATTTTATAGGAAGAAAAAAATCAGATCCCCATGTACCATCAAAGGAGGAATATACATATTTTATATATATATATATATATCCAATTTAACATCAAAGCAGTTAAGGTTGCTCAAGACAAATCTAGTCACATCCCAGAAATTATATGATTCAGATCACTTACAGTTGCAGAGAAGCAAATGTTTTCAGACTACAGATATTGTTTGATACCTTCCATAGAGTGTCACATCCCTGTTCAGCAAAGCACTTTGGCACATATTTAATAAGGAGATTTTCAAAGATACAAACTGATTTCTGGCAGAAAAGGATCAGCTAGTCCATCTTAAACTAAAGGCCTTTGAAAATCTTTCTACCAACTTTAATAGGACTTAATCGTATGCTTGAAGCTAAGCTGAAGCTTTAGAACTGAAAAACATGATCTTAAGCACACATTTAAACGTGGTGCTGAACTTCATGCTGAGGGGAACCAACATAACATAGAAGCTAGTTTAAATGCATTGAGAACATTCCAATGGGAACTATTCCGGTATCCCCATTTCAGTTAATTGCTCAAGCTGCAGAGCCAGTGAAATATTTTAATAGAGCAATATATGATATCAAGGCAGCATAACAGTAACACACTACTCTCTAGAAAGTTGTCTCATTCCAAAGTTTCAGCATTAAACCTTAAAAGCTTTTTGAACTATCTTTCATAACTATTATAGCAATTTTTTCATTGTTTATAACAACAATCTGGAACTGAAAACTTACCACACAAAATTCATTCCCTCTTCACTTTCAGATGCAGAAATTTGTTGTAGAGGCTCTGAGATCTTGTTTAGACTCCAAGTTCTGATCTGTATCCCATCATTGTACTTGAAAGCTCTTTTCTGCGGACAGAGAGAGGCCTGTAACAGCAGAAATTCTTCCTGGCCACAGAGCAGGGAAAATATAGAGCAAATGTTCACTGCAGCAAAGGCAGTAAATGGCACGCATGCTGCTAATCTCAAGTTCTAGCACTGTTTCCGTATTTAACATTTTCAGCTATACCTGGACAGCAGCAGGCTTTGTAAATTAACAAATAACATTTGACAGACACACTCATGGTTTCACACTTCTCTTTCAAAATGCAGGTACTTGGATGTGGGAGTACGGCACAGGCTGTCCTTAGCCGAGGAGCCAGTGGTGATATTGTGTCAATAGTGGTCGGAACTGCAATGGGAATCGTCATAGCAGTGTACACGGGTGCAGGGGTTTCTGGTAAGTGACTTTTTTTTTCTTATGTAGCATTTGTTGGCACAGTTTTAAGGCTACCTTATATATTAATTCAATTTCATGGTATAAACATTTATGTATCTAGCAATGGCAAGCGGCACTGCAGCAGAGTCTGCAGCAGAGTTTCGTTAGTAAATATTTTGTGTTTTTCTTGTTTCCTTCTATTCTTTGCGTTTGATAAACTCTTCCACCAAATTCTGATCTGAACTACAGTGTGCAAACCTTGGCAGACCTCTGGCCTTTATGGAACATTGTCTGTCCAGATCAGAAATCTGCTTGGTCTTGCTTTGAAATTTCTGTCAAGAGAGATGATCCTGGACAACACAGTCACTGCGTTTAAGGAAAGAACAAAAAAAAGCTTATAGAATCCAGCAGTCACCAGCTAAAATGTTTGCCAGCTAGGTAGAATGACCCACTGATGGGTGTAATGATCAAGGTTCACCTTAGAAAGTGTGATTTATCTCTTCATGTCCTATGACAGGCAGTAGCAAGTCTGCTGCTGTCTGTTTGCTGATTCACAGAAGCAGCAGATCACAGAAGGCAGAAACAGCAAAAAGATTCAGTACTAGAGATAGATTCTGTGATGCACTGTTGATGTACTGTCACTGCCCCTTTTTTTCTGCCATAACATTTCCTCAATACATATTGGTCAGGAATCTCTCTTTTGTCTGTGGCTGGGCTAACTAATCAGCGTCTCCATGTGCCAAATTGGATGGTGCTTTGTCTCCTGTTTCCGTCATTCAGTTTGGCCAAATTTATATCAGAAGCATTAGTATAACTGCTTTTAACATTGAAATTCTCCCTTTAAAATAGAAAATGATGGGCTGTAATAATACATGGTGTTGTGTACTATAATACACTATACTCCATGTTGTATGTGGAGTTTATACTGCCCTCTTAAAGCAGATGGTGCCTTGTACTCCAGTTCTCATAGAGGCATTTCTTACCCTTCACAAAGAGAGTAAAGTCAATCTGGGCAGATATATCTGGGTATAACTAGGCCATTATAAATTGTTGCTATAGCAGAAATTACTACGGCCATTTCTCTTCTCTTTTACAAATTCTTTTACAAAAAAACCATGCATGAGAAGGTTTCTAAGTTGAGATCGAAAGTGCTCAAGGCACCGCAAAAGAGGCAGTCTTGTTACTGTTATTGAAACAAAGCAGAATGGTTCCTTAATACCTCACAAAGCTGATTCAGCAGTACATTCCTATTATCTGAACAACTCTAAACTACAGCTTTTGGTTTACAAGTAGGCAGGTAAACTCTTCTAACTCAGTATCACGAAAAAAACCTGTAAAGGTGTAAAGGCACTAACCTGACCTACATTTGCATTTTTAAGGGATATTCATCTCCATTATACAGAAGATTAGAGTTCAATCCCGGCAGGTCAGAGCAGTTGCAGATGTTGCAGTTTTGTTCTTCCTGTGTTTTTTCCCACGACAAAGGATTCTGCATGCAATGCATTTTCTCTGTGAAAGAATAGGAACAGATATTTCAATAGGCTGTGACTATCCAACATATGATTACTAGTGGAGACTTTAGAATATCGGTTCCTGTATAGTATAGATTTTGTTAGCAAAATCTGTGGCGCTTTGGCCATGAAATCTCATGTGTAAGTACTCTAAAATATTTTGCATCAGTTCTTTATGAAATTCTTAATTTATGGTAACATAAAATATATATTTTGCACACTTGGTGAATTTGAGCTCTTATGTAGGAAAATTCCCTTTTTTGATTTTTCTCCATTTAATTTTCCTCAATCTCTATATAATTTCCCACCATTTTTTCCAACTTAACATTTCAAACAAATTCATGACTGTGATTATTGCAACTACCAAAAAATTGGGAACATGCTGTCCAAAGTGGATTTTTTTTTTTTTTTTAAACCAGGAAACTACCAGTGGCACAGGAACCAAGAATCTTTTAACTTCCCTATGCCAGCACGTGAGCCTTCAACTAGACCTTTCGTTTACAGATTTAATGTTTAAATTAGACATCTCTAATATTATTACGACTTTTCCTGGCCATCACAATCACCCTGTATGTTATATAGGTGGGCAACAATATCAGTTGTTGAAAGAAAGGCAAATTATTCATTCCAGCCAGAGTAAAGAACAAAAGACAAGACAACAATTTATCAAAATTCACATGAAGGGCTGTTAAATAAGGTGCCATCTATCTTTTTGCTCTGTGCTGGAGAATTTGAAACACAGTGAGGAATTCAAAATTAATTCAAGACTGGTGCTACTAGGTCAGAGTTTTGGAAATGATACAAAGAAGGTTTTATCTATCTTGTTATCTGTGTTTGTCAGTGCATTATGTATCAAAGGTGCCTGGATTTCGTAAGATAATGACTCACTGACCTGAAGTGCAAGCAAACACAGAAACTGTACATAGAGGCTCTTTCTCCATCACTAGCCTTTGAGAGACAAAGGCCACTTTTTTCTGATAATGATACAGGCTGAAAAGAGATTTTACCTGGAAGGTATGCAATGGATCTGCTATGTCCTTGCAAAACTCGGGTTTTACTGTATTTTACCGTGGAGTATGGTTTCGTCTGTTTATTTATTTGGCAATTATTATTTCTTAAGTGTCAACTACATATTTGTAAAAAATGAAGTTTTCCAAAAGCATTCAACACTTTTTTTCCATGCTGATAAAAGATGTTGAGGGAAGTGACTAGCATGTGACATAATAATAAATATATTTTAGAAACTAAAATTGTCGCAAAGAATTCCAATGTTGCTTAAATCTTTTCCATGTATGAGTTTCGGTGTAGCTTCTTCTAGATACAAAAGAAGGAAATTTCACAGGAAATGGAGCTCTCTGTTTCAGCACAACTACTTTATCAGTTTCCTTATTGTGGACCTTTCTGGGTATAAGAGATTGATAAAAACATGTGATGAAGAACTACGCACTGCTGTCCCCAGATCCCATAGGCATAGCTCACCAACAGTCAGCATGAAGCTGGACAGCCTTAATGTTATTTTATTTTAAGTTCATGAGAATTGAGTTCCTAAGTAACCTCAGGTCGAAGACAAAGTCATAAACATGACTCAAATCCAGGGTACTCCAGATCTGCCTGAAGATATATGATCAAGCCCGTAATAGTCCTTTGTCTTAATACATGCTTACTAAACTGAATGAATGTTCTGCTGCTCCAATCCTCCCTTAAAAATAAAAATCTGAAGCCCTTGAGGAGAGTGAATGTGGCAGAATGATGGACCCTCCCATCACAACCGATAGGGCAGATTCAGGCTCTTTGTAGAAAAGTTGTCTATAGATCTATAGATCTAGCAGTCTGATAAATAGCACAGTCTGCTAACATCAAGAGGGAAGCTGGATCTTGGTGGCTTTCCCCTTCCCCTCCTCTAATTTCATGCAACTTGTTTCAGTTTATCTGCTGTCAGCATTTAATTGCAAAATAACATCTAGAAAAGCGTGTACTAGTCTCATGCTCAAAAGTACCTACATTTTTACAAATCCTTCACCTAGTCTCATGTATCTGAGTCATCCATATGACTTATTTTGTGATTTATTTTTCAGGTGGTCATGTAAACCCAGCTGTTTCATTAGCCATGTCCGTGACTGGAAGATTAAAATGGAGAAAATTACCAGTTTACTTGTTAGCACAACTCCTGGGAGGATTTGTTGGAGCAGCTGCTGTCTTTGGGGTTTATCATGGTGAGTCCACCTTAGATATGCTTACAGGGCAAGCTAGAGGTCAGGCAGTTTCTAAGGCCCCAATTTTTCAATGAATTCCAAGCAGGCAGAGCACTCTGTCCACACAGGGCTAATGGCAGGACTGAAGCTAAAGCATACAGAAGAAAGGAAGAAGCACAAAGAGTTTGAAGGAAAAAAAAGGCTCAAACGTTCCAGGTATCCTACAACTTTTCTGAAACACTAATACTCCAGGAAATGTTCTGAAATTTAGAAAAATTATTCATGGGAAATCAGATACTTTGAGATTATATCTTTCTCAGTAAGGATTTTAAACTACTTAATAGCTGGGATATGGGGCTATTCATCTTCCAGGCAAATTAAAAACCTTAAAGACCTGATCCAAGTGCCTGTAGGCAAGTATCACCAACGTCGTTCATTGAGGTTACAGGATATGAGATCAAGTCCCTCCTGACTAACCTTCAGACCACCCTAGAGAGATAGCTCTCCAAGGCAATGAACTCCAGGTAGAATGATAAAGGGGTCACAAATTAGAAAGGAAAAAAAGGAAAAAAAAATTATCCCTTCCTTGAGGCATGTTTCTTTTACATGTTGCACCACAAAGGGAAGACAGTAACAGACTCCCTGACTTGATGAATCCACTCAGTTGGATCCGTTGCTTCAATCACTTACTCCATAACTCTGCTTCTACTGACCTAGCCCATCTCCTCCAAAGCCTCTCTCTTATGGTCATTCTGTCTGCAGACATTGCTGGGTCTAGGTGCAACAGACTGACAATGAAAATAGAAATGCCTGTTCTATATCAGCTAGGTGCTCAGTACCAGTAGTAATCAGAAACAGAATAATCTCATAGCTGAGAAATTTTCTTTTCCTTATCTTTTTTTTCTAATACTTAAATGCAACAAAATAATCTGACACTGCAAATAAGAGAGTCTGACCAAATTTAAAAAACTAAATATTCTCTGCACACATGTCATGGCCTCAAGCAACACCAGAAAAATCAGGGGCAAGGAGAAATAGATTTGTCTGCTAGCTTCAGGAAAAGCTAACTGTCCTCACCATGACTTCCAGGGGAGGTGGGGAGCTGTTTCCTTACTCACAAGTATCACCTCATCACTGGATCCACCAGTGAAATAAAGGCATAGCATTTGTTGTTCATGTCTGTCTATGCGGATTTTTGAGTGCTTTGTCTAAGTGTCTTCCTACTTCTAACATTTCAGGGCTTCCAAATGTAGCAAATTATTCCGACATGGAAGTGATATTATACTATTTAAAATATGCTTTAAACATACTAACATAAATGTAAATTTATTTGCAATATACATAAATCTTTATATATAAACATACACTAACTCCAATATACTAAGAACTGAAGTTTTGGAGCTAGCCTCTCCCCTCACATCTGGGATGACTAGCACAGCAGTTGGGTGTAAAGCCCATGCAGAGTGAAACGTTCAACCTGCTTTAGAAGAGGAGGTCTCTCAGGAGAGTTTGTTCCCAGAAGCCATTGCACAGCTGTCAAATGGAATAGCAGTAGTTCCTGGCGGCTGGGAATCCACAACAGCACAACCAGGATGCTAGGTGTTTTTTGGAGCATCATGCCAAATACAGCACCTCTTACGGAATAATGCAATGTGTTCAGAATCAGAAATTGCTCCCTGGCACTGAGTTTGGAGCGATGAACAGGGGGAAAAACAGCCCCATTTTTAAAGCTGTGGTACATGAACCAAGTACTTCATGGCACAGGAAGAGAGATGAGACAGGAGGGTATGGTTAGTACATCACCTCAAATCCATTAACTATGCTCCCAGAAAAAAAGACCGTTTTTAGTGGAGAATGTGAAGTGCATGAAATTATCACGTATATCCTAGTCCTAGAAAACCTAATGTTTATGGAGAAGTGCAACCAGTTAATGGCTGTTCTATATTCTGTAGATGCCCTGATGGCGTATAACGGTGGAGCACTTGAAGTCACAGGCCCTAATGCAACAGCACATATCTTTGCAACATATCCATCTCCATTCCTGTCCCTCGCAAGTGGATTTGCAGATCAGGTAAGTGCACTTGCTGGCTTGATTCTACGAATTAAGCATACTGAAAACTGTAAAACCAAGCAGTAAAAAAATACATAGATCTTTAACGGGTGTGATGAATCTCACTGTTTTGGTCATAGGTCACCATGTACAATAGCAATGAGAATGCAGTGCTGTTTGCAGGGGTTACATTTTAGTTGTATTTTATAAGCAAGATAATTTCAAGTTGTTCTTTCTACATACATCATATTAATTGTTGCACTCTACATGTCTTTAATGCAATATATGTAAGAGGTTTTCCCCAGCATAAATCAGTGTTTCTCCATAAACTTCAGCAGAGCTATGTCCATTTACATGAAAATCCAGCCCATTTTGTGGGCCTATTACGCCTGAAGTAATGCTTAGGTAGTCAGTTTAACACATCTTGAACACTTGAGTTTTCTGCTACCATAAGGCTCCTCTCCAGCCTTCTTTTTACAAATAGATGTGTATTATTTGTTATTTTTCAAATAACTGGATCTGAAAAAAATCTCCACTTTATTTCCAGTCTGTATCTTCTAATCCCACTTATCCAATGGTGAAAAATGAAGTTTCATATCTTCTATCTAATTCTAATCAATTGACCTGTCTTCTTCAGACACACATGAAAGAAATACTGCATAAGTAAGCTGTGAAAAACCAGGGATTGCTGGAGCACAGGAATTCCTTATGTAAAGGACTTGAAGACTGTGAAATCTGGCTTCAAAAAAATCCAAATGTTGCTTTGACATTTTGTAAGAAAGACAACTCTGATCTTTGGATCAGTCAACAGACTTTTCCACAAGATCTTTCTTATCCATCCATGTTTTAAAACGAAATTAAAACCAGAAGAAATAAAATTAATTTATAAAAAAATAACTTGAACTTCTTCAAATCAGTATAAAATTGAATTTTTTTTACGTCACTGAAACTTTTGTCTGTTTTTCCCCTAAGTTAATTATCAGCAATTAGCTCAATTAGCATATGCAATACAGAGTTCACATTACAGTTACATGTGCAGCCTTTATTTAGGTAATTCCTAATTTTTTAGCTGCTCAGTTTTGACGCTGTAGACTTCACTTCTTTGTTTTATGTTATGTAATACCTGGATAAAGAGGTGCATATTTAGTCTGATTAATCAGTGTAAGCTACAGTCACATAAAACATTTTTATATCAGTGTAACTGATTGTATTGGCATAGCAGAACTACCAAAAAGCAAGTAAATGGAACTATTATATTGACAGGAAAAAAAGTGGAAACAAAGCGTCACACCTCACACAGGAGATATCTTTTGAATCCTCTATTCTTTCCACAACAGGCTGTTTCAGATTTTTTTTTTCAAATGTCCTGAGCACATTTCTTGTCTTTTCCTTTCAGCAGAGATATCAAAAGTTCTCATTACTGTGAAGCAGAGAGGCACTGGGTTCCAAATTTTGCTATCCTGTATAGTGGGATAAATTGAAATACCAGCTTTAAGCCACCACAAGCCACAGAGCTGCCATAGCCCCTCTTTTCATTATTGGAAGGAATGTGCACATACTTATTCAATATTCTTTTCTTTGCATTGGGCAGGTGTTGGCAACAGCTCTCCTGCTTCTGGGTATATTTGCTATTGTGGACACCAGAAATAACGGCACACCAAAGGGCCTGGAGCCAATTGCAATAGGACTCCTTGTAACGTCTCTTGCTTTCTCCTTGGCATTGAACAGTGGCGGTGTCATGAACCCAGCCAGGGATCTAGGCCCAAGGCTACTCACAGCCATTGCAGGATGGGGGACGGAAGTATTCACGTAAGTATGCCTGCATATGAAGTAAAATGCTCTTGGCTAAAATTGCTTCCTACGAGTGTAAGATCCTGATTCAACATGGTACCAAGTCATTCTTTATACACATATAGGTAATTCTTTGCATACCAGAAGAAGCTATTCACGCACTTTAAGCCAGACATCCTCTAGCAACTGGGCTTCAAAAAGAATTTCCTGCTCCTAGGGCAAATCAAACACGCATTATCTCTAATATCAATCATCGTTTCAAGCGGACCCTTCCCTATATATTAGAGATTCTTAGAGGTCACTGAAAATATAAGAGTGCTTTCTTCTTTTGTCCTGCACCTTTCAGAAAAAAAAATGAGAGAGTTAGGTGGGAATATTTATTGGGTGCTGTAAAAAACACAGAGATATCAGATTGATTTAGCCTATTATTACTACTGAGTTATTGTTATACATTTCTGCAGTCTAAAAGCCTGACTTCTGGCCTAGGAGCGAAGGAGTGAATGAAAGAAAGCTCTCTTCATTTTCCCACATTTCAGATCACATGCTCAAGTCCCTGCACATGTATGTGCGCACGCATACACACGCTTTTGGCTGGCCAAACGCACAGCTAATTAGTTGCACATCAAATCCACAGCTTATACATATCCAATGTAAGAGGTGCTCTGGGATATCTGAGTGTGAGTAAACTGTTATCAGGAGGCAGATCTTTTGGTTTATTTTTGTATAGTTTGTTTTTCCAGTTATTTAGAAGTAGGAATCCCCAGAAGTACTCTGTACTCTACTCTGTAGAAGTACTGAGAGCTCTGGTTAACAGAGTTTTCATTTTAGATACTTCATCAAGTACAAAAAATCTGTATTTATTTAGTGTGACTTCCATCTACACAAATCATGTGCATTAGTAGAGGAGAGCAGTAGCAAAGTTTTTCTTGTACAAAAAAAGCTAGGCACGGCATAGAAGAAATGGGCACGCAGTCACACCATAGGCTAGATCCAAAGCTCAGATGTAACACAGCTCTGGCGAGCCCTGGGTGGGGAGGTCAGCTCTCTTGCCTGGTTACATCCAAACTTTTCCTCCCCAACAGCTCTTATCATTGTACCATTAGACTGCACTGGGATTTTTTTAAACAGCAGCTCACAGAGTGACAGCCCACATCTAGGATTCTCCTTTCTCATGCGTATTTAACTATAACTAGTTGTTGACTATGATGTTAATTATACTGTCATGTGCTATAATCTGTAATACATTATGAAGTTGGCTATTACGTTGCTGAAAAAGTTTGGAAGCCTGGTTGTACTGTGGTCTAGTCGCAGCATACCTATGAACTCCCCTCCTCTCCAAAAGTAAGGTCTTACTCATTTACATTTAAGAAATGAGAAGAAAACTCTACATTTGTACCAATATGGACTCTTCCCTAATTTAATTTTAGGATTTATATACAGAGAGGGAACACATCCCCACTGTAAAGACCATATTAAGAAATGTTAAAATGGGAACATGAAAAATGGGATATGAAGTCTCTGGTCACTGACACAAAAACTTACAGCAGTTTCAGGAATGTATAAAATGAAGAAGGAGGCTTCCTCCCTACCTTTAGTTATAAGGCAACAGCTATAACCAAATTCAAGGGAATTCGTATGACAGGACTATGTTGCCATCTATTCATAGCACAGATTCAGGTGAGACTTAGGAATAACTTGAACTTTGTTAGGTAGGTTGAAGCTTTGCATCAGCTACAGGCCATGGGAGAAGTCTGAACGATTGCAGCTGGGATCCTGAACCGCCTGATGCTCTGTTGGCATTACGCGTGCATGAGACACCTGAGTGATGCAGCAAGCTGACAGCTAAACCTTGGATGTCTCAGCTTAACTGGAATTCACAACCTTGAGGCAGGTGCTTAAGGTCTGCAGTAAAAAGCATGCACAAGAACTGGGACCTAAGCATGAAACCTCCGCAGTGACACGAGGGGAGTGCTGCATAAACTGAGCCACAGCAAATACTGAACAGACATCGAACGCTCATTGGAGTGAGGATGGAAGCATCTCACAAGGTGACTGAGTCACTCTCTGTCCGGGTTAGTGAGTGTTCGAGTGCAGCCTACGGAGCAGCCAGGGACCACCAGGAAAGCCTCACTTTGGAACAGGTTGGATACAGACGGATAAGACTCTCTAACACCATTGATCCCAAGCAAATGCTCTAAACATTGAGATAATCAGCTCATAGGGAGGAAATCTCATCTACCCTTCTTTGGGTTTACAGGTCCAATAAATGCTAGCTTTATCAGTTCTCGGGCAGGCAACTGAGCAGACTGGAGTGGAGCTCTTCTGCTGGACCTCGGAGTTGTCCAGAGGATGGGGAGGCAGTTGAGCAGGGGCTTTCTTGATGTTGTTGCTATTATAGGTTGCACAAAGACACCTGGAGGAGCTGTTTCCCTGAGAATCAAACCAGGGAATACAGGGTACAGTGTGGTTTCGCTAACTGGTGCAATCAGATTTGGCTTGGTTAAAGGCTCCCATTAGAAGCTGTTCTGACCCACCGCAGCTGGAAAGGGAGTGTCTGTCCAGCACCCTGCAGAGAGCACCATTTTGCATGCAACAGATGTAGTTAGTGGCCTGCTCCTGCAAACTGCTTCTCAACCTGTCGCGAGTAGGTGTCACAGATGGAAACTGTCCCCCTCATTAGAGACAACCACTGACTTTAGAGACCTACAAGTTTCTAATGATTTGTCCCAGAACCACGGAGATAACAAGGAGTCTTTCTTTTTAGGATATTAAGCACATGCTTAATATCCTAACAAGCTTAAGATGAGTTTTGGGTGGTGAAGTTTTGTCTGTACTGAGAAAACAGCCAGAGCTTTGAGTACAAATACCAGACTCCAGGTTTTGACAAGCGTAACAGAGCACGAAACAGCAACGGGGAAGCGAGAGGCGGCTCTGCAGAGTGCCGTTTCACACTGGCATTTGAAGCTTGCCTGCCAATGTTGTGCCTCTGGCTTATCACGAATTCTTTCACGCCTTGGCTGAGGCTGGGTCCACCTCAGCAGAGGTGACCCGAGGTTTGCCGGCTGGGCGGCCACAGCGAGCTGCAGCCTGCGGCGGGCAGATCCCTTTGTGGTCGCTGGGCCCAGTCAACCTGTTGGGCTGAGCGGAGCTGCCTTGTGGAATGGGTCAGGAGGAGCGCTGCTTGTCTGCGCGGAGAGCCAGCTGGCGAAGGGGCTTCTGAAGTATGTGCAGCCTTCCTGGAGTGTGGGACGGCAGCTGGCCACCTTCCACGCCACTGAATGCCAGCCTTATCCTGGCATTCCTTGGGGCAAACACTGTTATCTCGCTGGTCCACAGCAGCTGGAAATGTGTCTGCAAGTCTGAAACGGGCCGAAGTTCCGAGTCCGTGTGTCTTACACACTGTAGTTTCCTGGAAGCTTTTGCAGTTAACCAAAGTGCCACTTGCCAGGCCTGTGCCTGTGCCTGTGCCCGTGCCTCCTCCCCTTCAAGGCTGGCTCCCTCCCGCTCTGCCACACAGCAGAAACACCTGATGATGACAAAGGCATAGCTGGATGTGTTCCTGCTAACTTGGTGGCAAAGGTGTAAGCCAGGGTAAAGGTAGGTTATAAGGCAACCAAGGTTACTTCGGTGAAGCTGTCTGTGCTTGTCACGAAGAGTTCTTACTCCTGTGTCAATGAAGAAGGATTGAGTGGCATGAAAACTCATAGCTCAGCTGTGTCCTGATCTCATTTCAGCTTTGGCATCAACCTCGGTAAAGACTTTGCACCTATCAGCTTAGCAGAGGGTGTCTGAAGCACAGCTGACAGTAGCTGCTGCGAAGGCGATGGTTTGGAAAAGGTCACGCAGGAGCCAATGAGGCATATGTCAGGTCATAGAAAAAGTCAAGAAAAACCTTCATGACATGCTCACGTACACATGCGGGCACACACAGAGGAATACGTGCCAGTACTTGGTACAGATTTTGTTGTGCTGATTGGTTCAATAAAACCTTAGTCCATGCTTGTTCCAGAAATTCCAGAGCTCAGCAGACATTCATGACTGAACAACAAACAGATCTATAAACTCAGTAGAACGATATCAGGAGTTATTTTATATCCTTGGTGTAAAATATAAATAATTCCGAAGGCAAAACATACACAACCAAGGCATTTCTGAACAAGGAATAATATTATCATCAACAGGGCACTGTGAGATTAGCCCTGTTATATTCTTATGTTGTGACTTAACCACAAGTTCACTTCTGCATAAATCTATACAACTGACTGCTGAATAATTATCCTTACAGTTCAAAAATTCCCCTGGCAGCTTCCTGCTCACAGATGAATTTGTCCCTTTGTATGTCTGGGAGAAGAAAATGTTACTTCTCCAGTTTCAGTATGCATGAAATTGAGGTGGCTGAGTTTTCACTGCAGACACGCGTATTCAGTGAATACAGTATGTTACCAAGTTCAAACACCTTCATGCACCAGTACAGTTAAGAAAGTCGGCGCTCTGAAACTGATATTCAGTAATTTACTGTCTGAATGTGGACCTTCAGGAAATGGAGAGCAATTCCACAAGCCAAAGTCTCCTGCATAAGGAGTTTGTTATTTATTGTTTTATACCTTTTAATGGTGGACTTGTTTCTTTAATAATGTTCATCAATCTACACATTTAAAATGAAATCCTAGTAATTGTGCTAAGTGAATGTGAACATTTCAGTGGAGCCAATATGCCAGATTTTCTTACTGAACACAGCAATTCTAAAAAAGATAAAGTTTTAGGTGTATTAAACTTCTAAACGCTTCTTTACCTCTTACTGAAAGACCTCACATTTTAAACACAGAGATAGGACACTACCTCATGAAGTTTGAATGTCAGCCACTCTAGTCGAGTACAATCCACTCTGCACTGTGTTTCATTACATTCCTTAAGGCAAAAATACTCAAAATCAAGTATAATTTATCATACTTGTCAAGAGGAACGCTGTATATACTATTGCAGGCCTAAACCTGAAAATCTCCATCCATATGAGGCAACTCGTTTTTGCAACATACATTAGCATTTCAATCACAATATGGGCAGGACAGGCAAGGGTGTCATCCATTTACAGAAATATGAGAAGAAATAGAAAGGTCTACAGTACAGTGAGTGTCACACCACTGTATCTGTGCACTGGCAAATATAAGGTAAGGTGTTCACTAGAGTAACAAATAACAATTTTTTTTTTTCTTACAGGGCTGGAAATAATTGGTGGTGGGTGCCTATAGTTGCACCTCTGCTGGGAGGTGTACTTGGAGCAGTAATCTATGTTGTCTTTATTGAAATGCATCATTCAGAAACTCAGCCACAAGAAAATGTTGTGTGTGACAAATATCAGCTGACCAATGTGGAGTAAGAAGTGAAGAATTTTCTCTGCCATCAAAATGATGAGGTTTTGTGCGGTTTTTTATGCAAATGATTGTTAGGACCATTTTATAAACCCCATATGCCTCAATTAGAAATTCATATTTCAAAGCAGAAAATCTATATAGAGGAGAAGTTGAAGACTAACATCTTTCCATGAAAAATCCAGCTGATCACATTCAAAGCTGGGAACTTGGGATTGAGAAGGTTAAATTGTTGTTCTTTTCATATGGCTTTCAGATCAAGTTATCTCCTACATGAAATTGTAGTGAGATGATGCGCTGACCTGTTAATTCAACACACATGATCTTAATCATCTTGCCTAATTAACTGAAAATAGATGAGATATTGTTACAGAACTGCATGCATAGGTAGTTACTTGGTTCAGTGCTGAATTAATGTGTAAGAGCACCACTCACTTATAGCTATTATTTAAAAATGGCTTGTCTATAAATCAAAAATAATACCCAAATTACCTAAATATCAATTGAAGTAGTTTTAAATAACTCACTAAATTTTTATGGAACCACTAATTGAACAGCAAGGAATGAACTCATCAGTGACGAGGTTTAATAACTCAGAATATGATCACAAAATGTAAAAACTGTGTGTTATATGATCAACACCAAAAAGACAAAGATGTACTTCTGCACAGGTGCTTCATAGCAAGAACGTTCAGTAATTTTTAAACTATTTGCTTGACCTTTACACTACCCAACATTAAAAGCCTAACGCAGAATCTGAACCTCTTAAGCTGTGCTTTCTGGATAAAATTCATTCCTGTGGAGATGGGCCAGCAACACAGGCTTATGCTGTGCGATGGTCAGCACAAGGCCTGCGTCTGTAGAAGCTTTAAAGAGCCCTTCTGCTGCCAATCTACGTGGGGGGACTTCATCTGCTTCGTGGGAGTAATTTTGATTTTGGTAGCAGTAATTAAAATTGGAAACTGGTCTCAGACCTAGTCCTAGATCTCAGTTCCCCAAGGAAGGCCAGCTCCACATCAGAGTTCTAAAGCATGGATTCTCTCTCACTGAAGAGAAGTGATTGGACATACACCACTTCCTAAATATCTAACCTTGAAAAATGAAATTATTTCTGCTTAATAATTTTGATTTGAACTGATTAATCATTTTGAATTGAATGTATCTTATAAAATCAAATCTCATTTCTAGTATGTAGTGGTGGTGATCATGAATAAACAGACATGCTATACAGTGATGCTCTTGAGTTGTTTTCATGGCAAAACTTCAGGGTACCATTCAATGCACTCATTTCAGGGTACTCTTCCCTTTGAATTCCTACAATTCTGTTCCCTAGAATTCCACATTATTTTCTCATTTCACTCCTGAAGGCAGGAAACCGTCGTATTACCAATAATAACCTGTGCATTTTGGTGAGGTAACCACGGAAGTGGTTTGGAATATACTGTGGTCAGAATCTGCCTCAGTGTTTGGGCAGATCAGGCTCATGTCACCACACGTCTTTATCACGGTCCCTGGTACGCCACGCCAAATTCATGGCAGCCAAGGAACAGAATTAGCAGGTCAAGCAAAGCTTCGCTTGCTGCAGCTCTGTCAGACGATGCTGTATACTCGAAGGAGTATGATTCCAATTTTAATTATGTTTTTGAAGAAAAGTTACAGAACTGTAATGAACACAGGTTGCCCAGAGACCATATCAACCCTGTGCAAAACGCTCGTTTGATTCATCATTTCTCTGCTGTGGGTTAAAAACTGATACAGCTATACCCATCCACATTTGACTGCATTGTATCATTATCTGGAGGGCCACGATAACAAGAAGGGGAGGATTTACAGAATCAGTCCTCAGTCTGAGCAGAAGCAAATACAGAAGAATCAAGAGTACAATGTGGAAATTATTCCTTACTGTAGACCTTATATTGGCAGCACAAACAAGCTAGTTCATCTGTCCTGTATATTGATAAGCTGCACCACAAAAAGCAAGATGGTGTGTAGAAGTGGTTGCAGTCTGAGTGTTCTTTTGCTCCCCCTTGCAATGAGCACTGTCTCTCACCCCTTAGTGACACCTGGCAGCAGCACTCCTAGGTGGCTGCCACCCATCTGTGTCTGGAGAAGGACTACATAGGTAGGAACAGTCAGAGGGCTATACTCACTTACTCTTCCACTGATGCCAACATCTAACATCAAATATCTGTGCAGAAAATAAAAATAGACAGCTAATTAACCAGAAGTAACTGGTTTTGTCCAAAATGGTAGGGGTGGGTGTCATGAATGAGTGGTCAGGACGCTTAAATAATCACTCAAAGGTTTTACAATAGAAGATTTTACTGAAAGTTTAGAAAGTGTGATTTTACAGAGTTCGTTGGCAAGGTTCACTCCATTACTTGTTAAATGAACGGAATACAAAATCAAAGGGGGTTCTGAGTAGAAAATGGCTTATACAGAGTGGAAGAAAAGTGTAAGGCGGTAGGGAAGACTCTCCTGTTGAGTTGCCACGTTCGGACTGGACCCCCCGTGCTTTCTAAACTCCTTCTCAGAGAGGAGCCTTGGTGCGGCTGGATCCAGAACTGGCCTTAGACCACAATGGTTTATGTCTAAGGAACATGCTTAGCAGCAGTTCAGCTTGTGTTCACAGTTCAAAGAGAGAAAGAGAATCACAGGAATTTAGCAGCTGTTAATCACTGTTTAACTTAGCATTTACTGAGTGATTAAAAAGAATTTGCTGTTACAATCACAATAGTAGAATATTTTGTTTTGAATCAATTCACACACACATACACGCAATCATAAAAGCTCCCCTCGAGTTCAGCGCAAATGATTTCTCAATGGACAAAGGTTGAGTCTTGAGGAGATCAGAGCAAATAGTTTGCGAGTTACTCTGAGCAGCGTCCCACCCACAGGGAGTTACTGGGCGCAGCCTGCTGCGGACCAGAAGAGCTCAAAGAGCTTTCCTTGGTACCACTGTTTGTAGGGTCTCAAGAGGATTGACTTCAGGCATCAGTAATTTTCCATCCTGGTCACAATCCACATGATGCAATCCTGGTATCTAGACAGCAACTATACAATTCTAGTACTACCCAGAATGCACAGTTCTGACATCTACCAGGCAGGTGCGACTCCAGGCATCAGGAGTTTCAGGTGCGGTCAGGGAGCGCCTGATCGGCCCAACTCACAGCTCTTGTACAAAGACAAGGAAAGTGCCAAGTCGTCCCGATTCAATGCACGCCAGCTAACTATTCTTGCAGTGTAAGCAAGAGTGTTGGCTGGTTCTGGGATTGCCAGGTATGAGGGGGGACACGGCAGTGTGGTTGCCTCTTTCCTCTATGCCAATTATACTTTGAGGGAAATTTTTGGTTGGTTACCTTAATTATTGAGATTCGTTAAATGTGATTAAACAAGGTTACATATGTAAGTAGGGATTTGTAGCAATGTGACTTGTTTAGCTAACTTCCACACTCTAATGTATATGAAAATGTTTAACAGCAAGCATAATATCACAAGAGTCAACAGAATCACAGTGGGGTGTAACATATGGTTCAGGATTCCGGTCGCTGTTCAAGACCACCCAAATAAGGTATCCCAACAGCGATGTTCCCCAACCTTCACTCTTTCAAGGACATGGTGCATTTCTTCTGTGTCATGATGGACAGTGATCAGAGTCCTTTGTCCACTGTCTCGAATTTGTTTCAGCAGTTGATGCAGGTCATCACTTTGCAACAGCTTTTTCATGAATGTGAGGTTCAACCCAATAGCGGTAGGTGACAGGTCTTGATATGATGCATAGTCGGATTTCAGCAATTAGAATCATAGAATCATAGAATCATTAGGGCTGGAAAAGACCTCTAAGGTCATCAAGTCCAACCATCCACCAATCACCGCCATGTCTGCTAAACTATATCCCCAAGTGCCATATCTACATATTTTTTAAATACCTTCAGGGATGGGGAGTCAACCACTTCCCTGGGCAGCGTGTTCCAATGCTTCAAAACTCTTTCAATAAAGAAATTTTTCCCAATATCTAATATAAACCTCCCCTGATGCAACTTGAGGCCATTC